CTTTTTTTTATAAATATATGTATTGCGATGCTTTGTTCTGTTTTTGCATATACATAAATTACTTTTGTAATATTTTAGTTTTTTCTAATATAAATGAGATATACCTGATCCAACTATCCACAAGTATTACGAAGAATTTTGCATCTTTACTTTTTTATAAATGAAAGCGTACGAACACTGCACCCGGCATTTTGCAAACTTAACCTATACCTGTCAAAAGCAAGTATGGATGCAAGCAGTAACATCACGAAGCGCCGTTAGCGCAATCTTTCGTCAAAGACGCCAACCGTACAAGAAATACATTGCCATTATTACATGTGTGTTGTGTACGTGTATATATACGTGTAGCATAATACCACTATATTCTATGCATGTGTTGTATACATATATAGCGGTAAAAGGGACGACGACGACGACGACGATGATGATGATGATGGAGATGGTGACGTTTCTTACATGAAAATTTCCACATTTCGACTTTGCTTCGTAATATCTTTGCTTTATAGAACATGCAGAGCGAAAATAAAGACACTTTCCTTATATAAATCGAACCCAAGCTATCGATTAAGCCTATCAAGAATTCGATCGGTTCAGCCGTTATTCAGATCTGGTAATCTAAGGTACTCTCAACTATCCGACTCGCGTATAGATACACGGGGTGCCTCGTTCTTGTTACGCGCGGTCTTTGCTTTGCGTGACTTGGCGCGAGACACTACCGTGTCTCTTGATAAGCATAAATATAAGTGCATCAAATTTTTACGTTTGACGCCAAATTAAATCAGACAATGTAACAATTATTATTACATCATTTTTAAAGCACTATTATTTTTATTTTATGCAAATACTTAAAGTCCCAAAATGTCGAGTTCAACGGAGATAGCGAAATATGCGCCCTGGAATAGGCATTACCACGAAAATTGCCCAACCAAACATCGTATCCCTGATCCGCTAATAGGTAAGTTAGAATGCAAGAAAATATCCTTTGCAAATAGCTATTACATAACTTATATAAAAACAAAAATATAATGGCTCAATAGATTAAAATCAAATTAAATTAATTGGAAGAAAATGGCAATCAGAGCCAGGCGCGGTAGTTGGAGCGCAAACAGTTTTTTATTATGTAACATTCTCTACATTTAGACGTTTCGGCCTCTTTTTTAGGCCATCTTCAGCATAAATTACACTTATTACATAGGTTTACGATCGTATTGGTTTAGTCGGTTACTAACCTGAACATTACTAACATGAAAGAGCATTGTCGCAGAAAGTTAAAATAATAATAAATAAATAAATAACTTAAAATAAAGACCGGTATAACAATAACAGTGGTCGTAAAGGAAATTAAAATAAAGACCGGTAATCAATGCGACCGTAAACCTATATAATAAGTTAATTTATACTGAAGATGGCCTAAAAAAGAGGCCGAAACGTCTAAATGTAGAGAATGTTACATAATAAAAAACTGTTTGCGCTCCAACTACCGCGCCTGGCTCTGATTGCCATTTCCAATTAATTTAATTTGATTTTAATCTATTGAGCCATTATATATATTTTTGTTTTTATCTAGATAGTTTTTATGTATCTATAACTACCATTAGTTACATTTTCTAATCCATTAACTGTTACTGTAACTAGTTACATTTTTTCTGTATCTTATCTAAAAATGATGTTTAAGATACAAGATACAATTTTTACTTTTTAATCAAAGATTGGCTATAACCATAGACTTATATAGATAGACTGCGCGTTCCTATTGGTCATCTTCTTGTCTTCAATGGAAACGCGTAGTCTATCTATGTATAGACTATGTTTCTGCTATAATCTTTCAAGAGCTGCGTTCCGAAATTCACCAACATTACTGCCAACATATGGTCATTTTTATTGTTCACGGAATGTTAGATAAGGATGACGACATGCTAGCACTATTGCACAGTGAATTTCGGAACACAACCTAATATATGTATATTTATTGTAAGTTTAAGAAGAAAAGAAAGTTAAAAGTATTATAATCGGAGTTCAATTGCGAAGAGAAAGAAAATGAATTGTGTGCCGTTTATATTAAGTGCTCCATTCTTCAAAATAGAAGAAGTGGACAAAAATGTGAAACAAACAACAGATGACACATTGAAAGCACAATGTTTGATGTGTCCAAAATTTATTAGTGGAAGCAAGAATTCAACAGGCAATTTTTACACTCATTTGAAAGTAAGTTATTTATCTTTTGCCATTTAATTAGTCTTTTTTAAGATTAAAGCGAATAAATATTAATTTATTGATGTATTTAGTAATTGTGGGTAGGTACGGGATAGGAGGCCTATCGCTTTAGGATACTACCCAATTTATCTTACTTGCAGGTAGATAAATGAATGAGTCAGTTTTAAAACATAAAGTATATTTATTCTTACTCCTACATCAATAGCGCAAGTTGCGATTGCACGCATAATTGTTATTGTTATTATTTTTGTACATGGGCTTGTATTTGCCCCCGCGTCTCTTTGTCTGGGTTGAGGCGTCGGCCGTTCTCTTCAGACCAGGGAACTGGACGGGACTGGTCTGAGTTCCACAATGTCTCCTCCTAAGGGGTTCCCTTATCGGCGAGATTTTGATGGGCGAAATCAGTGGTGGTAGTTTCCATGTCTTCGCTGGGGACGCCAAGATCCGCTCCAGTCGTGGCAAGGAGATAAGCCGGTCCTTCCTTCGCTGGTTGCTCTCCGCGTGGGAATTGCTGGGTGACTGGGCGCCGGAGCGTGCGTTCTCCTTGGAATGGCCACTGAATGGTGGCCAGAGGCCGGAGATCACCGGCGAATCAGCACCGATGGGTGACAGCGACCCGTCACTTACCGTGATCGGGGAGCAGGTACCAGCGATCGTCGGGGAGCAGGTCCCAGTAGAAGACGGCGACCGGGCGCCTGACGATGGCGGATGAGCGCCGGAGGACGTCGGCGGCCTGGCGCCTGACGATGGCGGACGAGCGCGGGAGGCTGATGGCGATTGGGCGCCTAATGCCGATGGCGGCCGGGCGCCGGAAGACGTTGGCGACCTGGCGCCTGATGATGGCGGACGAGCGCCGGAGGCTGATGGCTATCGGGCGCCTAATGCCGATGGCGGCCGGGCGCCGGAAGACGTTGGCGACCTGGCGCCTGATGATGGCGGACGAGCGCCGGAGGCTGATGGCTATCGGGCGCCTAATGCCGATGGCGGCTGGGCGCCGGAAGACGTTGGCGACCTGGCGGCTGATGATGGCGGACGAGCGCCGGAGGCTGATGGCGATCGGGCGCCTAATGCCGATGGCGGCCGGGCGCCGGAAGACGTTGGCGGCCTTGCGCCTGATGATGGCGGACGAGCGCCGGAGGCTGATGGCGATCGGGCGCCTAATGCAAAAATCATCTAGACAAAAAATTAAAAAAGCATTTTGAAGCTTGAAGTTTCAGTTTTAACGTGCCATCGGTGGTTTCAAAAATTTTTTTTATCTTTCTTGTTCTGTGCTTTAAAAAAGACACATTGTTTTATTCCTTAAAATTATGTATTTTTGACACTCTCCAGCTTGATAAAAAAATTTCTCTTGAAAAATTCAACTCAGATTCCATAAACTACAACATTTTGCCTACAAAATGTTTTTTTAAAAATTTTCCTACGATTTTTTTTGATCGAGTTACACGATTTTAAAACTAAACCTGTATTTTTGGACATAATGTCGATGCTCCGCGAAAAATCATCGCAGATAAAAAATTGAAAAAGCGTTTTGAAGCTTGAAGTTTCAATTGTAACGTGATATCGACAGTTTAAAAAAAATTTTTTGTTTTCTCATTTCTAGAAAATACAGATTTATTTTCAAAATCATGTAACTCGGTCAAAAAAAATCGTAGGAAAATTTAAAAAAAAGCATTTTGTAGGCAAAATGTTATAGTTCATGAAACTTGAGTTGAATTTTTTGAAAGAAATTTTTTTATTAAGCTGCAGTGTCAAAAATATATATATTTAAGGAACAAAATAATGTGTTTTTTTTAAAGCACAGAACAAGAAAGATAAAAGAATTTTCAAAAACCACCGACAGGACGTTAAAATTGAAATTTCAAGCTTCAAAATGCTTTTTAAATTTTTTATCTGCAATGATTTTTCGTCGAGTTTCAACGGTTTTAAAATAGCCCAATTTTTAGAATATGAAAAGTGTTCTCTATATTTTTTTGAGTAGTGTAATATTAGATTTAAGACTTTTTCTTGAGCGTTTTTATATTTTAGATATGAAATAATTTCGGGATATCTCTTATTTAAGGAAGATCGATTAAATTCATACCGAGTGCTTTGCCTTTGCCAAGAATAACAAAACTGGCGGAGCTGCCTAGAAGACCGTGCTGCGGTAGTACAGGTAGAGAGCCGTTGCCACCTGGAATACAATCCCAGACAGCACAAAACGTCCTCAGGATCATCCTGAATATGTCCAGGATGGTTCAGGATATTTGTAGGATGTTTTAAGATATTATTATAAATATATTTTATGAAAATTTAATATGCATACATGATTACTTTCGGTTATGTAGGCTATTTAATATAATTTAGAAATTTTAAGTATTGTAATAAGTATTAATGTCCTATAAATGTCCATTGGATAACCCCTGGATGTCTGTAGGATATCTGCCCTGTCTATTACCCAGACAGCACAAGGATGTCCTTAGGACGTCCAAAGGGCATCCAATATAATAGACAGGGCAAATATCCTACAGACATCCAGGGGTTATCCAATGGACATTTATAGGACATTAATACTTATTACAATACTTAAAATTTCTAAATTAAATTAAATAGCCTACATAACCGAAAGTAATCATGTATGCATATTAAATTTTCATAAAATATATTTATAATAATATCTTAAAACATCCTACAAATATCCTGAACCATCCTGGACATATTCAGGATGAACCTGAGGACATTTTGTGCTGTCTGGGTCACTATGTAGAAAAAGCAAAATCTCGCAAGCTTACAAATATATGTTTAATACTACAAACACAATAATGAGATATTAAAACAGTGACATACGCGAGGTTAGGATATCTGTCATATGTGCAGTAGGCAATGTATAAAAACGTTCTGTTAAAATATTTTTGTATGTCCTGGATGCCCTTTGGACGTCCTAAGGACATCCTTGTGCTGTCTGGGATGTAACGTCAAAAGATAACCATCTTCCGTCATTATAATATGAACCTCTGCGGGATAATTCGCCCTTTTTATCATCTGCAGCTAAAAAAAAGAATTATTAAAAAAAAACATACTCAAAATTGATCTAAAGTTGAAATAATTTTATGCATATAGTATTTCTTTTTTTAATAATAAGGCATCTTCGTAATAAATATGCAGAATGCATTAATTTTGCATTATGCAAATTTGTTTTTACTTGAGCTGCTATTCACTTGACTTTATCTACTAATATTTCTTACCTTTTAAATAAATTGACATTTTATACTTTTAAACAATTCGAAAAAAAAACATTCATCTTTAATTAAATCTTTGATTTGTAAAGTATCTACTTTTTTCGACAAATTTTCTCAATACAAAGGTTCAAGTAAATTTTCTTTTGTATCTTTTTGATATTTTTTTCTATAATCAGTTAAAATTTGTAAAATAAACTGTTTCTGATCTTCATCTTTTGTAAATAAATTATCCCACACGGAACATGACATCCATTGGACGTTCATATAACCTCCATAACTCCATGCGACATCTATCTCCATAGTGGATATTGTATAGATTTCTAATAGAAATCCATATTATCTCCATGGTAGATGTATATAAATCATCCATCATGGATGTCCATTAGACATCTGTTATGGATGTATGATAGATTTATACAAGTATGTTTCTAATAAAACAAAATTTAATTTTTATTTAAGTATTATTTAAAATTCTCAGCTAATGTTTTGAGAGTATACTTAAAAATGTGTAATATTATATATTCTATTTTTAATTTATATACAATCTAAATTTTTATTAAAATTTTTTACTAAACTCTAAAATATAATTAACAAAATTTTAATGCAAAATAAAGAATTTTTTTTCATACCAAATTTTTTAAACAGTCCATAATATATAATGTCACCAATT